AGAGGAGGGTGCCCCTGATACCTGTACTTCTCAATGTGCTACATAATATCATCCCACCAGCCCTTAATCCCATGGTGTATGCATTCAGGACTCAGGATCTCAGGGTCAGTTTCTCAAAGATTCTAAGATGCAGTAGAAAGAGCAAATGATATTATTTGTTTGGAAACTAACCCTACCCTCTCTACTAAGAATCAGTTTGTGTGTGTAGCATAGTGCCTAAGGCATTTGACCGTTTCAAACCCACCAGTCACTCCTCAGAAGGAAGATTGGTCAATCTACTTCTGTAGAGATACAGCCTCAGAAACCCAAAGAGGGGTCATTATGAGTCTAATCGACTTGACAGCAGAGAGTTTTTTTGAGAATATGAGACAGCATTAAAAACTTAATGTTCATTGATTACAGCCTAAGACATGAAGTGGATTAATCCCAACCCCATTCAATTAATTGTGTGTTTGGTAGAAGTTCCTCAAAGAGATTCACAAATAGTGAGGGTTTAAGTAACCACATACTGGAAGATGTGGGTTGAATCTAACTTGGATTCAGATTCTTTAGAATTTTCAATACAGGACAACTGGATTTTATTCTATGTATAAAGCAGAGTAGTTAATATGCTTTGATAACGGTTATATATGATGAAATCAATATTTTTATAATAGTGGAAGGTGAGTTTGATTGAAGTCACAGTGTCCCATTATTTTGGATAATCATATAAAATAGGAAAATCTTACAATATGGCCCTATAATAGGGCTATAACAATGAAAAATATAAAAAGAAATATAAGTAATATTATAAAAGGAAAAGTACACTTTATAATCAGATGTTAAGGAAAGAGTGATTGCTTGGAACCAAAAGTATTTACTGAGATTTCACTCTTGGTGCCTGGTTGACCTGTGGCATCATTAAGACAGGAAAATCATATGAGGGAGCATCCTGTGGAAAGTCCATGAATTAAAATTTCCATAACTCTCTAAAATCAACACAAATATTGCCATATCCAAATTATCATGTATCAGTTAGTGTATGGTCACATTCAACTCTCTCACTGTGATATGATTATGAAGAGAAAATGGAGTGCTGGGGCTTGCAAAAACTGAATGGAGGCATCAAGGACATA